TTTTAGCTAGGGTTAGTGATTTAGGATAGTTAGGTTAGTGAATTTGTTAGGATTTATTAGTGATTTAGGATAGTGATTTAGAATTTATTAGGATATTGATTTAGAATTTGTTAGTGATTTAGGATAGTTAAGGTTCTTTTAGGTAGTTAGGGTTTAGGTTACTGTTAGTTATGATTTTGGGTTTAGGGATTGATTTTGGGTTTAGGTTAGGTAGTTTTGGTTAGGTAGTTAGGGTTTAGGTTACTGTTAATTAGGATTTTGGGTTTAGGGATTCATTGTCGGTACTTAGTAGTGCGTGATATGGTGATTTGGATGACTTGATGAAGTTTCGTTAAATGCTTATTTTTCTAGTGAAGTTGTTTAATATGTCTGTTAATGTTACTTTGAATATATACATGTGCTTTCATATTATGTTCGTATTGCATAACAAGTAGTTCAAATTTTGTAATGCTACATAATGTTAATTTGAATATTGTTAATTTGAATACTTTAACCCTTTGTTTATCAATTTGTAACAGGATGGCCCCTCCCACGCAGCACCCGTTGTATCCCATTCTTGAGGTGGAGTACAACGACCAGCACCGAGCATACATCTTGAGTGACACCGACGCACAGGTGGTCTTGCCTACTTTGAGGCCCCGCACGCACACCAGGGCGCACCAGTGGGACGAGCGTTACGCGCCATATATACGACGTGCCGGCTTCCTCGAGCTTGTCCGTGTTGTCAACTATGGTCTTCTGCCCCTTGACCCAGCACTACTTACTACAGCTGTAGACAGGTGCGAGTGCCTTCTTTGTACGTAAACATTCTTATAACAAATTTGAGTCAACTAATAGTCATTCTATTCTTATAATAAGTGGAGGCCTGAGACCCACATGTTCCACCTACCTTGTGGCGAGATGACCTTGACCATGCAGGACGTGAAGGCTATCTTTGGCCTTCGGTTGGGAGGACTTCCAGTGACGGGTATAGTTGACAACGATCACTGGAAGGAGCTGGTGGCTCAGTTCACTGGCTTTCTTCCACCGGACGACAAGGTTTCAAAGAAAAATAAGTGAGCAATTCAAGCCTATTTAATACTTGCATTACTTTCCTGCAGCCATCGGGTCTCATTTTCTTTGGTGAATTTCAGGAAAAGTTCTGGAGTTTCGTCGTCCTGGATCACAGAGCGCTTTGATTACTTGGACCCACAGGCTAAGGAGGCTCAGATCGATAGGTTTGCTAGAGTGTGGCTCTGGCACTTTCTTGGTGCTTTCCTCTTTCCAGACGCCTCGGGCAACACCATCAGCTAGATCTTTCTTGACATACTACGCCAGCCATGGGAGAACATAGTGGCGTACAGCTGGGGCAGTGCAGTCCTGGCATGAACGTATCGATAGCTATGCGTTGCCTGCCGTCGCACCTCAGGGTATGCGAACCTTGGGGTTGCTCCTACCTACTCCAGGTTTGGTGTTGGGAACGATGGCCTGTTGGGAGGACCCTTAATACTGGTTTACCGGTAAGTACTTCGGTTCACTATATTCTTCGAGGCAGTTACATATGATGAGATTATTAATGGCTAATTCATTATCGTGTTCAATTCATCAATGGAACAGGCAGGATACACTCCCTACAGCTCTGTATATCTGGACGGAAGCAGAGTTAGTTAGAGGGAATGTGAGGCGCAAGTACAGGGAGTACACGGACGGTCTCGACGTCCAGACACAGCACCAGGTTACGTTCTCTTTACTATCCTACATGTGTCTTGTTCGATATACACTATATGACAACCTAACTCAATTACGAAATGTTCAATTGCATTGGTGTCCTTGGGATGCTCTAGAGCTCCAGTACTATCTTAGTCCTGTCACTAGGGACGAGTCAGATGAGTATCGCTGCAACATCCCTTTTATTTTCTTCCACGTGGTCGAGATTCAGTTGCCCATCAGGGTCTGCAAATAGTTTGGAAGAATGACAGGCTGCCCACCACCGCTTTACTCCACCAACCAAGGATTGCACGGGTGCATTATCGATTAATAACAAAGCTACAATTTAGAGGTGTGTGTGGTACAACTAACATCATTTTGTTGCAGGTATGACCGTAGGAAGAGGTACAAGACCAAGGATTGGCGCGTGACACACAACGCGCACATCAACTTGTGGGAGACCAGGGAACGGCAGCCGGTCCATGTGGGTCCTCCACACGACCAGCACACCTTCGACGAGTACCTGTGGTGGCTTCACAGGTCTACAAGGACACATATCAAGCCTCCGTACACTGAGGAGGCGATTGACAAGGACTCGGAGCAAGATGTGATCGAAGATATGTATGACGTTGCCACTAGGGAGGACACACAGCTACAGAGAGCCCCGTTTCAAAGATACGTGGTAAGATACCTTGAATGGTACAATTTGTTATCCTTTTGGTATTAAGTATGTGTACTAAAATTGTCCAACCGCGTTTCTGTACCCAGGCGACACAATTGTCAAGAATGTCCAACGAAGCAGTGTTCCGGCTTCACGAGTCTAGAGGGCAGGGGCCAGGCGTTCTCGAGGCTTTTATGGAGGTAAACATAAACTTGTCTGTTCCGAAAATGTTTCTTTAGTGTATATGCGTTTGAGAAATGCACTAACTTTAACGTCTATTTATGCAAAAGGTGAAGAAAAGATGTAGGAAGCTAGCTCAGAAGCTGAGCTGCATGGACACTCCTTATGTGGAACCGCCACTCCCGGCGTGGTCGGGTGGCACGTCTTCAGCCTCTTTGAGGACACCAGTCGGCTCTTCTCAGCCAGTGACAGGTGCCACTTCCACAGTGCTTACACCACCACATTATAGCACTGTGAACGACCCTACAACCAAGGATGATGATGACGACGACGACGACCCCCCAGGCTTCCGCAGACAGTACGACCAGTGGGACAATTGGCCGCAGGACGAGATCGGCAAGTCTCAGCTAGGTGTGCCCCGCTTGGTACCTAAAGAGCCTCACAGGTACTAACAAAGGTAGTTTTTCTAAATGCGTAGGCTCCATGAACTAACGTTCATAAAGATTATAAGTAATCGTGCATATCATATACTTGCAGGGTACGAGCCGCACACACCGGCGACGAGACCACACCGACGTTGGTTACACTCCCAATGTGTTGCCAACAAATCCGAAGAGACAGAGACGTCCGAGGGATCCTTACACTCCTGGGTCTTAGTTTATTAGGTCGAACGAATATTGGCGTTCGAAACTTGCAGGCTTAGTTGGTTATGTTATGTCGAACTTATGTCAAACCAATAAAAATTTTATGTGGCAGTTTGTCAACTTGCGCACGGACTGCATTTATTTGCTTCATATTCGTTTTAATACGTCGCGGCAGCACTGCCGGCGAGATTAAGTAGCAACTAGTTCAGAAACCGGCAATCCCGACTTATCTCGACGCCGGTGGCCGGCGTCTTGCGTGAGGGATCGAGGAAGCCGGGGTCCATGGTCGCGTCATTGCCGATCCTACAATATGGGGCCAAAAAGCCAAAAAAAATAAGTGATTCGTTTTTAGCCCTTATAAAAAGAAAACGGATTCTTGAACCTCTTTTACGCTCATGTCACGTCGAGGTACTGCAGAAAAAAGAACCGCAAAATCCAATCCAATTTTTCGTAATCGATTAGTTAACATGGTGGTTAACCGTATTTTGAAAGACGGAAAAAAATCATTGGCTTATCAAATTCTCTATCGAGCAGTGAAAAATATTCAACAAAAGATAGAAACAAATTCACTATTGGTTTTATGTCAAGCAATACGCAGAGTAACTCCCACTATCGATGCGGAAAGTTCCGATTAAACCGTCCAGGTACTGCCACGCCATGCGTCGTGGCGCGTCACTGCCGCGCCAAGATCGGTGGCGCGGCAGACCCTGCCAGGTCACCGGTTAGCGGCCCCGGTCTTCGCCACGTCAGCCTCCTGCCGTGCCACCATGCATGGTGCTGCACAGGCGTTTCGCCGCACCATGGCAATAGGCGCGGCCAAAAGTATTAGTTTAGAAAAAAAAAAACGATGTTAGATTTAAAATTAATTTAAAAAAGTGTTAAAAATAAAATAAAATAAAACCGCGGCCCTCGGCGTCCTGGATACAGTGGCATGGCGGTGCGTGGTCGGTCGAGGTGTCCGGATCACACGTCGGTGGCGTGGGAACCTGTTTTATGATGCTTCCTACTATGCCGTGATACTAATATTTGTGGTCAACGTTTTGCTTCTACGACGCATGATACTATGCCGTGCCCAGAGGCAGATGACTTGCTGCTTCACCATGTCGTCTTTTATTTCGCGCCATCCCAAGTGACCACACCCTTCATGCAAGCATTGTTGCTGTCTTTTGCTTCGGTGCAAATACGCTCAATCCACTAGAAACTATCGATTAAAGGTGCAATCCAACACATTTCCTCTTTTCAGCGCCACAACAAATTCTACGATGATGACATGCTTTTATGAAATTGCTGATTTCGGAGCAGCAATTCGCTCTGTGAATCTTAAAAAAAATCCCTTCTATATCAATACACGTTCGGCAGAGCTCCTGACGACCGTTTCAAAAAAAAAATCTTAAAAACAAAACTTCTACACATGCAACTTCAGTTGGACAACCAAGGGTACAAAGCAAATGTTGTTTATTTTTTCTTTGCAATTGCAACGAAAGGTTACAAATTTAAGCAAACTTCACACTTCACTGGTGTGGTCTTGGTGCTCCAAACTTGGTATGGTAAAAGATTCCAAATTGAACTTGCCTCAGGCAGGTTCAGCAAACCGTGCCGGGTGAAATTGGATTCGGAACCTAGCGATTTCAAGGATCTGGGATTCAACCAAGATAGTCCGAATTTCGGCGAAATTTGTCCATTTCGGTCAGGTCCAAAATGAATTTTGTGCTTCAAATCTCAAAATTTCACTGAATCAAGTCCGAAATTAGATCGAAATTTCTCGAAATTCATCCATTTCGGTTGGGACCCAATTTTTTTCCAAAATGAATCCCATAACCTTAGCGATTTTAGGCCTGAACCAGCTGCCTCGGCTCCGCACCTGACGGGATGACGCTGGTGGGCTCGGCCTCTGCCTTGCGTGCCTCATCAACGCCTAGGCCAGCGCCCGGTCCAGGCCGGTCATCACGAACAGGTCTGCTGCGAAGCATCTCCAAGAAGAATTCAGTGAGGACCGGCTCAAAACCGGGCATTTTAGAGTATCCCGGGCAGTAGTTGATGTCGAGGACGAGGTACTTGGCGTCTCCTTGAGCGTCCATCGTCCGGATGAGGTCGAAGTTGATGAGGTGCAAGCCCACTGCCCGCCCGAGCTCGCGGGCGACCTTGTCGACGAACTCCTGTGGCGGTGGCACCTTGGCGCTCTCGTCGCCGACCGCGGTAGTGGGCGCGAGGAGGGAGATGTTGGCGAAGGGGACCGCGGCGTCGGCGGTGAGGTCCTGGAGGCGCTCGTGTGGCACGTACGGCAGGCTGCTCCGCGTCACGCACGTGGCGTGGTCGCCCACCACGTACACTTTGAAGAGCACGCCGCCGTGGTTGACGAACTCCTGCAGCACGAGCGGCGCGCGGAGGCCGCGCAGGCCCTCGCGGCGGTACACGAGGCAGAGGTTGTGGGACGCGGCGCTCCCGTCCGCCTCCACGGGCTTGGCGATGAGCGGGAACCGGAGGTCGCCGAGGACGGCGTCGTCGTCGACCAGCTGCAGCGGGGCCCCGGCGTCGTGGACGATGACCTGCCTGGGGACGGCCACGGAGTCGAGCCCGGACACGACGTCGAGCATGGTGAGGCGGTCGAGGATGCGCTCGATGTTGGCGGGCGGGTCGATGATGGGGATGTCAGGGTGGAGCACCGAGTAGGCCTCCAGCTGCGCGCGCCACGGCTGGCCATAGAGCTTGTGGACGACGAGGTCGAAGGGGCCCTGCTCCACGAGCGGCCTGGACGCGTCGACGGCCACGCACCGGATGCCGTGCTGCGCTGCCAGGTCGATGAACGACGGCTGGACGAAGGTGTCATGCTTGTTGGGCAGCATCGCGTAGCCGATGGTGTAGACGGCGGGAGGCCGCACCGACGAGCTGCCGCCGGACCCTCCTCCTCCCGCAGCTGCTGGTGGTGGGGAGGAGGACAGGGACTGCTCCGCCATCGGCTCTCTCGCTCTAGCTTTGCTTCAACTCACTGTTTGTGCCGTGTCAATTCGTAGCCGTAAGTAGCACTAGGGATAGGGGTACCTTAAATAAGTATCAATTTTACCAAGAAAGGTAGACGTATACGTAGATGACAACTGTAAGCATGGAGTGTGTGGTCGGCGCGGCGCTCGCTCGAATCAGATGCGAAGGTGTGTGTAGTCTCATCTTTTTCGTTTCAAAATAGTAAATCACTAAAGAAGTATGCTTTGCCGACCTATTTCGTATACATCCGAAGCTGTTAAAACCCACTGTGTCCTCCTCGCACCACATGAATCGAAGCCTCGGTGGCATTTCCAGAGTTGGACACCTGGTTCGGCTGATCTTACGAAAGAACCCTCTCAAAACTTTGCGATCAACCCGCAGTCCTCGCACGGCCACCTGCATCCGTCCTGGCTCGACCAGGTGAGCGACCTCGACGCCCATGACGAGTGGTCCCTCCTGCAACCGGCCCCGTTGGCAGTAGTGGGAGCAAGATTTAGGGTTCAGGCTAGCGGCGCGGTCTTATTTTCTTTTTTTCTTTTTCCAGCGGCTCAGCTAGCAGCGCGTTCCCCTCTCCTGCTGTCCTGCATCGTCGCCGTCTTCGCTCCGCCCTCCCCGCACCGCCCACCTTGCCCTTTGCGATGGCCGCTCGGGGAGAGCAGGTGGGTCGCCTCGACATCGATGACGGGTGGCCCCCCGCGCTTGGGTCCTGTCGGCAAGGAGTGTGGGAGGGACCTACCACGCAGTCTCCTGCGTCCTCGACGTCCTCGCTCGCCCCCCCCCGGCGCCGCCCGACTTCGCCTTTTCCGCAGAAACTCCGGAGAAGTAGGTGGGGAGGCCTCGACATCGATGACCGGTGGCCCCCCCTCCTACGCTTGGGTCCTGTTGGCAGGGGGTGGGGTGCTGGATTGCCGTGGGAGGAGGCGCGCGAGATCCAGATGCGAAGGGGGCGGTAGGGGGAGGTCATCGAGTGCATCCGCCTGCCCTGAGGCCACGCTTCCACTCCAGGCAGAGGCGTCGCATCCGAGAGCGGCGCTCGTCACACGCCATACCCGCGTGCGCCCAGACGTGCTTCTGTGGATGATGCTGGTGTACCCAATGTATAGTGAACGGCGGCCCTTCCTATCCCCTCCGGGAAAATCGCGGGCGGCCACGGTACGACGGCATGCCTCACCCCTCTCTACCAGCTTCTCTTGGCACTGGTTCTGATGCTCCAGGTGAGTCGTTCCTTCCCCGTCTTCTACCCCCAGCTGAGCTGAGGCGCCTTCACCCTCTCTCCCTCCTCGTTGCAAACCCTGACCTCTCCTTCTTCTCTCTGTTCCTCAGTTCTACACACAGCAGATTTCGACAGTCCCAACCGTAAGACACTCCATCTTGATTATTACGTGTTATTGACCGTGGCTTGTGTTGATCTTGGTAGGAGGGCTGGTGTCTTTGTGTGTGATCTCCTCCTTTGTGTGCCTATAGTTGGACTCTCGTGGAGATGGCGTCCGTGACATGAGGCCGTGGTAATCCCAGGTTCTTCATTAGGTGCTTTATGAGAGAAGGTCTGTGATCTCTTTCTTGCATACATAACTACTTCTATGAGTGGGTCGTTGCATGGTCGACTTTCCTGTGCAGAGATTGATGTTCAGATTCTTGTTCTTTATCTTTAGGGAGCACATCTTAGGGAAAGAGGCACCGACACTCCTATCTTCAGGTGTAGTTCTGGCTGATCCCTCCCCCTAGGTCTTGGTTAAACTCTGTTTTGATTCGATGGTTTTCCTATGGTTGTGTGGCATTAGGAAGGTGTACTTTTGGGGCTTGCCCTTTCCCTTCACAAGTTTGATGGACTTGTTGTTGTTTTTCCTCATCTCATAGCCTTAGGATCAGCATATTATCTTACTTTTTAGTACTTGAAATCAGGTGGTGACTGGTGACTGGTGACTAGGGTTTTATAAGGCTACATGAGTTATATGCTTTGAAAACAAAATTTCTAGCACACTGGCGTTGTATGCTTTATGTGTTTCCTACCGAAATAGACTTTTTTACTGAGAACCATAGGAAAAGTTTCCTTAGCATTTTGTTAGTGGTTTTATTAGGATTATTGGAGGTCGGTCGAAAAGGAAGTAAGACACTCCGCTCCATCTTGATTGTTACGTGTTATTGCCCGTGGCTTGTGTTGATCTTGGTAGGAGGGCTGGTTTCTTTGTGTGTGATCTCCTCCTTTGTGTGCCTGTAGTTGGACTCTCGTGGAGATGGCGTCCGTGACCTAAGGCCGTGGTAATCCCAGGTTCTTCATTAGGTGCTTTGTGAGAGAAGGTTTGTGATCTCTTTCTTGCATACATAACTACTTCTATGAGTGGGTCGTTGCTTGGTTGACTTTTAGATTCTGGTTTTTTATCTTTAGGGAGCACATCGTAGGGAAAGAGGCATCGACACTCCTATCTTTAGGTGTAGTTCTGTCTGATCCCTCCCCCTAGGTCTTGGTTAAACTCTGTTTTGATTCGATGGTTTTCCTATGGTTGTGTGGCATTAGGAAGGTGTACTTTTGGGGCTTGCCCTTTCCCTTCACAAGTTTGATGGACTTGTTGTTGTTTTTCCTCATCTCATAGCCTTAGGATCAGCATATTATCTTACTTTTCAGTACTTGAAATCAGGTGGTGACTGGTGACTGGTGACTAGGGTTTTATAAGGCTACATGAGTTATATGCTTTGAAAACAAAATTTCTAGCACACTGGCGTTGTATGTTTTATGTGTTTCCTACCGAAATAGACTTTTTTACTGAGAACCATAGGAAAAGTTTCCTTAGCATTTTGTTAGTGGTTTTATTAGGATTATTGGAGGTCGGTCGAAAAGGAAGTAAGACACTCCGCTCCATCTTGATTGTTACGTGTTATTGCCCGTGGCTTGTGTTGATCTTGGTAGGAGGGCTGGTTTCTTTGTGTGTGATCTCCTCCTTTGTGTGCCTGTAGTTGGACTCTCGTGGAGATGGCGTCCGTGACCTAAGGCCGTGGTAATCCCAGGTTCTTCATTAGGTGCTTTGTGAGAGAAGGTTTGTGATCTCTTTCTTGCATACATAACTACTTCTATGAGTGGGTCGTTGCTTGGTTGACTTTTAGATTCTGGTTTTTTATCTTTAGGGAGCACATCGTAGGGAAAGAGGCATCGACACTCCTATCTTCAGGTGTAGTTCTGTCTGATCCCTCCCCCTAGGTCTTGGTTAAACTCTGTTTTGATTCGATGGTTTTCCTGTGGTTGTGTGGCATTAGGAAGAGGTACTTTTGGGGCTTGGCCTTTCCCTTCACAAGTTTGATGAACTTGCTGTTGTTTTTTCCTCATCTCATAGCCTTAGGATCAGCATATTATCTTACTTTTCAGTACTTGAAATCAGGTGGTGAGTGGGGACTGGGGTTTTATAAGGCTACATGAGTTATATGCTTTGAAAACAAAATTTCTAGCACACTGGCGTTGTATGCTTTATGTGTTTCCTACCGAAATACACTTTTTTTCAGAGAAACATAGGAAAAGTTTCCTTAGCACTTTGTTAGTGGTTTTATTAGGATTATTGGAGGTCGGTCGAAAAGGAAGTAAAGGTGTAAAATCCTTTTTCAGACTTTTTTCCATAGCTGCTGCACACTATTAGAATCCTAATTAGTTCTGTAGTTGTGCCCTTAAGTTTAGTGGTGGTTTAATATGTCTAACTGTACATTTAACTGAATCAGGCGCTTTAAGATCTTGGGTAAGAATGGTTTGTTTAGGTGTTTTCTTCAACAGAATAAACATGTGCTTTAGCAAAAAAAAATTATCTCAGGTGCTGCTGATTGTTTGGACTATAGTACCCAAATTTTGAACTGTAGTACCAAACTTGTGCATTGCTGATACGTGCCAAACTTGTGCACAAGACTCTTCATAGGCATCTTGCTGCATGGGTCTATTTCTTTGATTCCAATTTCTACATTTTGAGTACTTCTGTAGAAGTGCAGAGCCTGAAGGCACTTGTAAACTGCTCTGATTTCGTTTTGCATATGTATGGCTTGATTTTGCTTGTTCTGCTCGCTGTTCTTAAGATGCTAATATGCAATGACAGTTATCGTTCTTTTCGTGCCCTCTCCATTCTTACTGATCTAATGCATTTGGCATATGAGGCTATGATTACTGTTCTTTTGATGATCTCTCAATTATCCGTCTTTTTAGCTCGCGTAAAAAAAGATACTTGTGCCTAGCCTAGCCTTACCAAAACACTCTACTCATTGTGCTTATGTATCTTATATTGAAGGCTGCAGGCTCTAGTGCTGTTCTGTGGAAGTCTGCACTCTACTTTTGTAGTTATGGTTTGTGTTGTGGTGATGCCCTTTTTTCTATACTAGTGTGTCCCCAGTATTATTTGTTACTTCCTGGCGTTGTGCAGTGCGTGCTTTCATGGCTGGTCCTTCATGTGAGAGAGTGGCACGTTGTCATGAAAAATGCCACAGAAGACGTGTCACTATAGCACAAGGTCCGTGCTATCCTTGCACATGCCATTACTAGCATGCGATTTGTGTAATACCCTTAGCTGACCTCTGCCGCTGCTTAAAATGGGTTGGGAGGCTGTTCAGGTTTCCTCAGATGTCTAGTTTTTAGTGCCGTGAATGAGAGCCCTCCTGAGTCCAGTCAGCCAAGCACGTCTGACCAGACAAACGTCACCGATCAGACATTCACTGGTCAGAAAAGAGGCAGGTCTTTGATGTACTTTCCTACAGAGGCTGCCACCTCCAACAGGCGCCGTCGCCTTGCCAGGATACGACGTAGGCTACCCTTCAGCCCTTCGGCACGTGTTGACGATGGTAGCTGCCCATGTCCTCTGCCTTTGTGCTTACTACATTCCTACGTCTGATTGAAATAAAAATGTATTTGTCCTTTAATTCTTCTATTCTGGTGTATAGCTGCTTCCAGCAGCCCGTCAGCTACCCTAGTTCCACTTGATAGGGCGTATGTCGAGTCACTGAAAGGTGTGTC